TCCAGCTCCATATTCCTGTTCAAACAGCTCTGCCAGCACCTGTAGTCCGTGGACACTTGCCCTTTATTCCCTGTCCCCTCACCCAGTTTAGAGCCATGGTCTGTCATTACAATAACTCCTTGACATATGTCCTCAACTCCTTCGTCTGCCTCTTCTCTCGACACGTTTATCTGGCCAGCCTAGCCTGGTTGAAGCCAACCCTCCATCTCCTGCTCACCTGCCCCTGGCAGCCCCATATACAGCTATGCCGACTGGTTTCTCTTGAGATTCTTTCTTTATTTATTTTTTAGGCGAGGCAACCCTTGGTTGACCTCGCAGATTGCAAGGAACCTGTCAGTTTACAATCCCTTATTTTTAAAATTAAAAAAAAATTTTTTTACACCTACAGCACCTCATCTTCCTAGGTGGTCTCCCATCCAAGTACTAATCGGGCCCGACCCTGCTTAGCTTCCGAGATCAGACAGGATCGGGCACGTTCCACGTGGCACGGCCGGAGACTGTCTTGAGATTCCCGACCCTGCTTAGCTTCCGAGATCAAACGGGATCTCATTCAGGGTAGCATGGCCGGAGGCTGTCTTGAGATCCTTGACCACGAATCTACTGATCCTCAATCCCGCTACATCCCCTGGTCCAGTCCATTCACTCGTCCACTCGTCCACATGGGAAGTCTCACCTTCCTCTTCTCCTCAAGCTTCCCCTGATCTCACACCGCCCTCCAGCTGTCGCCCATTTCTTTATCCTCCTTTACAGAAAAAAGATCCTTTTGAGAGTTGGATCTCCCCTTATTTCCTCTCCGTCCATTTTCATCGTCTCTTCAATGCACTCTGATCAGGCTTTCCCCCCACAACTCTACTGAGACGCCGCCTGTCAACGCCCCTGGTGACTTCCAGACGGCGAAGTCCAGTAGTCACACAGGGCAATTAGAAAACACTCTGAGATGAATGAAAACGAAGAGACGACATCAAAATGTGTGTGAAGCAACTAGAGCAGCTTTTAGTGGGAAATGTGTAGCTGTGAACACCTATATGGAAACGGAAGAAAGGTCTCGAACAATGACCTAAAATTACAACAAATTCAATGCTCAATTCATTATGTCGTTAGTCCTGTTAGCACCTTTTGACGCAGTTTATCACTTTCTCCTTTTTTTTTTTATTTCAAGAAAACATACATAACGTGAATTTTACCATTTTAACTAATTTTAAGTGCACAGTTCCGTGGCATTAAGTACATTCATATTGTTTTACAACCATCCCCACCGTCCATCTCCAGAACTTTCTCAACTTTCCAAACTGAAGCAGTACCCCCAGCCCTGAGGACGGCGGCTCACCGGGCTTCATGACACCTGCCCCCTGCTCCCCAGTTGTCTTGGGAGGCAGTGGGAAGGCAGCACGCTGACCCAGCGAGGCCCCCGCGTGACACCTCCCGGGGGCACGCTCTGTCCCGACCCTCCCCCCCGAGACGACCGCTATTCTGGGTGTGGTGGTCACTGCTCCTTTACTTTTTTTTTTAAAGCATTTTTATCACATATGCGTGTCTCCCCCACCTTAGGGCAATATTAAAAGTATTTCCCAGACCTTAACCCTTTAGCTGCTGGGTCGCGAAGCCCATGGCACGACAGAGACAAGGCCGGGGTGGGCGGGGATCACACCAGAGTGACGGAGGCATGAGGCAGCAGCCAGTTACAGGGCAGTATTGCCGTATTTTAATAGCTGACACATCCTGACAGGTGTATGACTGCCTAGGAGAGGCCCCGCCCCCGGCGCTGTTCGTTAAATGGAACCTGGTTTTCTACCATTCCATGGACAGATGTGCCGCTCGTGACATTTTAACTTTTTCATCCAGCATTATCTTGTTGAGAGCCATTCTCATTAGCGCGTGTCCCTGCTGTCTGTTTATTTACATGTATTCCATTGAATGAACGCACTGCCACTTATTCCACAAAGCTATGATGCAGGAATATTCGGGGTAATTCTAGGGTTTCGCTATGGCCGGCAGGGCTGATCTGAATAATCTCGCACACGGATCCTGGGTCCACCTGTGAGGGTTTCTCAGGGGGACGTAAATCTGGGAGGGGAGTTCCCGATTGCAGGATATGGTCAATCAATCGAATGTGGCAGAGGCAGCCCACTCTGTCGCAAAATCCTGGCTCCCTTTCTGGAAGGTACAGCTAAGGAGCAGCTACTCTGCCACAGATTGCCTTTCCCGGATCCCCTTGCATCTAATTGAGGTCATGTGACTCGTTTTGACCAAGAGAAAGTAGGCCAAAGTGAGGAGCATCCTTCTGGACTGAGGTGGTTAAGGATCCAGTGTGCCTTCCATATGCTCCCCTGTCCTACGAGGACCGCCCCGAAAGCTCACATTGGGGGTGGGAAGCCACGATGTGGGCATGGAAATCACACGGAGGCATCACAAGACAGAAGGAGCACGGACCACTTGACAGACAGCCTTCCAGGGTGGACACATGCACTCAGTGGACCTCGCTTATGTGAGAAATAAACTTTTAAGACATTAGGATTTGCTGTGTTTTTGTATTCTAGCAATTGGCCTACCCTGCCCAAGAATATGCTAGATAGTGTCAAATCGTTTTCCAGAATCCTCTCCTGGACCATTTCTCATTTCTACCAGTCAAGGATGGAAGTTTCCTTGCTTCTCATCCTCACCAGTACTTTTTGTTAGCCAACTTTTTTCGACTTTTCATTTTGAAATATGTCAAGTGCGACAGAAATGCCATGTTTCTTTCACCCATATTTACCAGTCATTAACATTTTGCCATTCTCTCTCTCTCTCTCCCCCGCCATTTTCGTACAACTATTTCAAAGCAAGTTGCAGACATCATGTCCCTTTATCCCTAAATATTTAAGCGTGAATCTCCTAAGAACTAGGATACTCTGTTATATGACCAATTCGTTTATCCAATTCAAAAATCTTATGCAATGCTGTTATCCAGTGTAAAGTCCATATTCAAATTTCACCGGTTGCCCAGTCACGTCCTTCATAGCCCCTTCCTGAACCCCTTTTCCACCCCAACCCCACCTTCCTCTCCATTCCCACATCCCACCCCAAACCCCATTCCAACTATGTCTCCAGGCTCAACTCCGTCCTTATCCCGGTCTCGTCCCATTCCATCTTCATGTCCATCGCAAACCCCGTCCATTTCGTCCCCGTTCTCAGCCCCCAACCCCGCTATGTTGCCACGGAAGGCAACATAGTCCCAAGATTCAAGAATGAGATCATGGACATCTGGAGGGAACCATGGGTCTCCAGGCCCACCTGCTTCCCCTTCCATAAGGAGAGCATAATGTCCTTGGGGCTCGCCCATATTGTAGCATGTGTCAGAATCTCCTTCCTTTTGAAGGCTGAATAATATTCCAGTATGTGAAGATACCACATTTTGTTGCTATACTCATCTGCCAATGAAAGATCTAAATCAATTCCTTAAAAACATTATGTATTTTGGAATAATTATCCACTCATGGGAAGTTGCCAGACTCGTACAGAGAGGTCTTGTGTACCCTTTACAGTGGTATATCTTATGTAACTGTGTAATTTCAAAACCAGGAAATTTACATTGATATGATTTACAGACCTTATTTCAACAGCTTTTACGTTCATTCCTGTGTGTGTCTATGCGATTTCTTCACTTGTGTAGATTTATGCAACCGCCTCCAGCTTAAATGAATTTATTTTTTAAAAGAAGCCTTGTAGCTCCGCCGTGAATGGCAAGTGGATGTGACCAGCCATAAGACAAGCTTATTTAAAAATTAATACGATGTAAATGACGTCACAACTTTCCAACTGGATACTGTTGTCCGTTGAAGGCTTTTCGTCAAACCCAAGAATTAAGTGAAGAGGCGTAAACATGGACTAGAACCAACCGAACCCCTCTCCTCCCACTGTTGAGAACCGAAGAGGGAATGGATCGCTTGCCACACAGTTCAGTCGTTCTGAACGCGGGTCCACACATCACCCAAAATGATCTTCCTTGGGAAATGCTGTATCAGCTCGTTAAGTCTTCGCAGCAGCCCCGAGAAGGTTGGGTGCTACGATGATCCCCGTCTTACGGGTGAGGAAACCGAGGCTCAGGGATGAGAAGCGGCTGGCCGCACTGTCGTGTTCTAGCTGTGTGACCTTGGATAGACCGCTTAATTTCTCTGGGCTTCTGCTTCCTCCTAGTGACCTGGAGATAACTTGTTCTTCCCTGTTAGGGTCGTTAAGAACATTAAACGAGAGAATACTGAATGGTGAGCCCTTAGAAAAGAGCCTGGCACTGATAAGTAGTTGGTAAAATTGCCATTGTTACTATTCCTATAAGTTTGCCCTAAAGTTTAAAGTCAGCTACAGTAAGAAAGCCCATGACCGTTTACGCGGGGCCCACTCTGAGCCAGGCAGTGAGCTCGGCCCTTCACCTGTTTTACCTGTGTGTGCCTTTGTGACAGTTGGATCTACCTCTATCCTTCCCTTATTGCAGATGAACGAACAGAGGCACAGAGAGGTGAATTCACTTGCCCAAGGCCACAGAGCTTAGGATGAGGAGCCGGGGGTCTGGACCCAGCCGGCCAGTTTTCATTCACATCTCCGCTTTACCACCTTTCATGTCCTTGGGCAAGTCATTTTGTTCTCTCTGCCTCAGTTTGCTCACCTGTACGGTGGGGACAGCAAGGACACTCACCTCAACGGGCTCAGTGTTATTATTTTAAATTGCACTGTGTGCTGACACAGTTCCTCTGACGCCTACTCCTAGCGGGCGGGGATGGGGGGCCCACACTGGCCCACCCCTGCCCCACCTGGACGGTGCCAACCCCTCCGCTTATGCCCAGGGCACCCGCCACCACACTGCCAGACAGCTCTGGCGCAGCCGGGGAGCCGCTCAGCAGGTTTTTCCTCTCGGCGTGCCGTGGGGCACCAAGCTGTCCTTTCCCTGCCTCGCCTGAGCCCGGCCCTGCTAGGCTCGCAGGCTGCTCCCTGCCAGACGCACCGGTGGGTGGTGGGCCTGTGTCACCATGCCCAGCATCTTTGCCTACCAGAGCTCCGAGGTGGACTGGTGTGAGACCAACTTCCAGCACTCAGAGCTGGTGGCCGAGTTCTACAACACGGTGAGGGCCGGCCGGCCGGGGGGGTGGCTGGGGGTGGCACAGTCACCAGACCTGAGTCCAAAGCCTGGCTCCTCCTCGTCCTCGCTGGGGGATCCTGTCTGAGCAGTTCGCCTCTCTGAGCCTCAGTTTGCTTATCTGCCAGGTGAGGAGCGCTGGCTTTCATTCATTATTTGTCTTTACTTGTCATCGGGCTTTGTAGTAGGTTTTGGGATGGCAGCAGAGACTAGGAAGAGTGACTTGGGAAGGCATTCACGACCCAAGGCGATAGTGCCATCACGGGGGAGGGTAGAGGTGACCCCTGAGGCAGCGGTGGGGTAGGTTGGGGGATGGAGCAGGGAGGGCTTCTTGGAGGAGGTGAATGCATCTCCTTCGTTCTCAGCTGTACCCCCAACCCAGGGTGACCAACTCATCCTGGTTTGCTGGGGACCGTTCTGGTTTTGGCATTGAAAGTCTCATGTACCAGGAGACCCCTCCGTTCCAGCACACCGGGGCAGTTGGCCATCCTTCCCCAGCCCCTGCTATAGGGCCACACTGGAAGGGTCCCCAAATCTTGGATGCCTATATGGCAATGGCATTTAACTAAAGCCTGAGAGATGCAAGCAGCCAAAGATACATGTGACTGTGCTATCCTTGTGTGGGGTGCTGGGGACACCATGGTGAACGAGGCAGGGCGCTTGCCTTCCTGGACTCCTGGGGTGCTGGGTAACACAGGCAGCGTGCTGTGCTCTGGGCCTTTCGCATAGTAGGTGATCAATAAATGGCGAATGATGGAATCATGCGAATAATGGCCTTTATCAAGTGCTTACTGTGTGCCAGACATTGAACTAACCATTTCACCTGAAAAATCTCATTTAACCTTCACAAGGACATTGGGAGTTCGGCACTGTATATTGTATGTAGAGTTAATCTCCTTTCCCAGGTGAGGAACCAGGCATCCAGGGAGGTCGGGGATCCGCCCAGGGTCACCCTGGCACTTAGAGTTGGGGTTTAAACACGGTAGGTCCAGGAGAAGTCTATCAAAAAGGCTCTGACGAAACAGATTAGAGCACGAAGAATTGAGTTATATTATAAAGGCTTTTGCCACAATTCCCTCCTCCCAAACCTGTATCCCAAACCTGTCGCCATAGTTAATAACTCCTATAGTTCGCGGCTTTGGCCAACCTTTGGTGTAAAGGCCAGATAGCCGATATTTTTGGCTTTTTGGGCTGTAAGGTCTCTGCAGAAATGACTCAACTCTACCACCGTGGCTGGAAAGCAGCCACAGGTGACATGCTAATAAATAAGCGTAGCCATGTGCCAATAAAACTTTATCTGTGGACACCAAAATGTAAATTTCATATAACTTTCACACGCCATGAGATATTCTTCTTCTTTTAATGTTTTTGACCTTTTAAAAACGTCAATATCATTCTTAGTTCATCGATCGCACAAAGCAAGACAGGTCGTCAGCCTCTGATTTAGCTTTATATATGTTAATAACCGATCAAACAGAAAATGATAAGATCTTTCTTTCTAGTCTCTCGAATCAGGAGTTAAAAATGAGTTTATGTTTTAGCGAACGTGGGCCCACATTTTGCAGTTTTCCAATAGACGGCGGGATTGGTATACAAAGTCTTCTGTGAGTCATTCGTAATTGCAATAAATAGATGCATAAATCAAAAGAAAGCCAATACATTTTCACGACTCTGAGTAGGGTTGAATACATTCTGCTGAAAGACAATGCAGCTATTTAAAAGTATGCTTTCGATCCAGGGTTGTAAACGAAAGACAAAACATGTAGCAGAAATTTTTAAAAACCTGTTCACATGGGTTTCTGCCTGATCCACTTACAAGCCACAGCTCACAGTGAGAAAGCTCTGTTCTCTGCAGAATCTTTGGCCTCTTTTCTGCTCTGCTCCCAGGGAGCTCTGAGCCCGGGCACGGGGGAGCCGGCCCCACGTGGTCAGGGCATGGGAGAAGGCAGCTCGAGAGGACTCCGCCTCAGAGACGAGGGCGCCTAAGAGTTGGGTTTTGAAAGACGGATAGGAGCTTGCCGAGTGGGGTAGGAGGCGGGAAAAGAGTTGAGGAGAAAAAAAAGATGTACTAAGTCCTGGAAGTAAAAGACGGATTGGCCAGTTTGGGAAAGAGAAAGTATGTTTTTGTGTCTGGAATCTGGGTAGAGATGAAAATGAGCAAGTTTTGAATGCTGGGTCGGAGTGTTTGAAATGCATCCTGTATTCATTGATGGACTCACTCATTCAACAAAAATTCTGTAAACCAACCTGTGCCGGGTACCAGGATCTGGGGTACCAGGATGTGGAGGGGGCTTGGGAACTACCAGTGAGTCCCCCAGCCTCACGGCTAGTGTGTGGCGAAGGGAGAAAGGGATGGGGTGGCGGGAGCCGTGGGGGTGCGGCACGAGGTGGAGAGGGAGCTTCAGCACTTAACGATAAGTAAATGATCCCTAAGGCATGCGGGGTGAATGTAACGGCAGCCTCAAAGCACCTGGTTGAGTTCGCAGCCCACCAGGAGAGCCGAGAAAGGCCATCTGCCAGGAGCAGAGGTCAGGGGTGTGAGAGGGGCTGGATCGGGTGGGGCTGGGGCAGAAGTCAAGGTGTGGGCTGTTCCAGTTTGCACCTATTTGCTTTGGCCTGGTGGCCTCCAGGCGTGGCCTCCTTCTGCACCACTGGCATCTTAGGAAAGTTTCAAGTGGTGTGGGAGGGAGTTTTAAGGCCCTCGGCTCCCAGCGGCAGCTGTGCTGCTGAATTCTTCCTGGGCCCCTGCCAAGGATGCAGAAGCTCCGAGTCTCATCCTCTGCAGAAAGCTCCCTCTCAGGTGCTTGGATACAGAACAGAGGGACGCGTGGCTGGGGCGGGAACCGCACAGGCGAAGGCGGGGCGGGGGAGGGGATCGGGGTGGGGGAAGAGTGGGGGGCAGTGGGAATAAGAAGAGGAGTCAGGTGGGGGCGAGGAGCGGGAAGGGTTGTAGGGGCGGAGATGACGGTGCCCACACCTCCGACAGCCTTCCCACCTCCTCCTCTGATGGAGCCGTCTCTGCAGCTGGCCTCTGCGGTGCGGTGCTTCTAGTCCCTCTCTTCCCTGAGTGCTATTGTGACTCAGGGGGAGACCCGCCTCTCTCCAAGCCCCTGGCTGTGACTGGCAAGTCCCATGAGCCCTGAACCAATCCTCCCTCCTCATCAACATTCACAGCAAAAGCAATTAATTTCAGGCACCTCTGGTCTGCCAGGCCCTGCGGAAGCCGGGAGGGCATGGTGCCTGCCCTCGGGGAGGACAGATGCCATTAACTGAATAATTACACACATGAAACTGGTGACTATGCCCATGACACACCCAGGCCTAGACTCAATAGGTCCCTGTGGACCTCTTTTCTCCTTTGGAAGAACAGGCATTGGTGATCCCCACTCTGCGGGCTTCTGGGAGCAGACAGAGGGGTCTGATCTGAGGAGACAATGACCCCTCACTAGGCCTGTCCCTCAACAAGAATTTATTGAGCCAGGCACTGTTTCAGACTCTGGGGACACGGTGGTGATCGAAGCAGACAATAATGCCTGCCCTCGGGAGGCTGGTATCCTGTGGGAAGCGGGAGACAGCTAACAGACAGAAGTGAAGGGCCCAGGATAGGGGGATGTGCTAGCGAAGAAAAACTCATGCAGTTAGTTTTGTTATTCAGCAAATATTTACTGAGTACACATTCAAAGAAGGGGGCAACTGTGGAGTGCTGACAACCCTTAACTCACAGAACCACGGAGAGGATGGAACAGCTATTGGACAGATGAGTGGATGAGCACCATGGCGTCCACTCGCTGTGACGTGGACGGACCGTGAACGCAGCACGCCCAGTGAAAAGCCAGACGTAGGGGCCGCACGGTGTGTGCGTCCGTTGATATGAAAAGTCCAGAACGGGCAGATCCACAGAGGCCGGCAATGGGTTAGTGGTTGTCAGGGACTGGGGAAGGAGAAGTGGCTGCTAATGGGGACGGCGCTTATTTTTTGGGTGATGGAATGTCCTGGAATTAGACAGCGGTGGTGGGCGCACAACCTTGTGAATAGACTAAGACTCGCTGACTTGCACACTTTGAAAGAGCGAATTGAATAGCGTACGAGTATCTCAATTTAAAAAATAGAGATTAAGAAAACTCACAGTTCTTGGCACAACCTAAGCATTGAATAAATTGAAGCTATTATTATTGGAGGTAAACGCAGCCCAGAGAGATGCGAAAGTGTTCATGTGTTCATTTGATTTGAAATTCATAAATTTCAGATTTTATTTAATGTTATTTAAATACATTTCATTTCATCCTCGTAACGATGCTGCGAAGGAGGTCATTTTAGCCTCCCCATTTTGCGGACAGGTAAATGAGGGCTCGAGAGCGCTGGCGACCTTTCCCAACGTTGCACTGCATGTAAATTGCAAGCACACGAAAGAAAGTCGCAGTGAAACCCAGGCCACCTGACCCCAGTCTCTCCCTTAACCACAGCGTCGTGAGGCCACTCGGTTACTGAGTGATGAACAATCAATGCGTGTGTCTTAATCTGTGCAAGTGAGTCTGCTTGGGGAGGGACCGTGGCCAGCACTGTCGCCTCCCAGCCCCCACCCAGCACCCACATTCGTGCGCACCTGCTGGGTGGATGCGGAGCTGAGTCCCGGACAGGTGACAGAGCCAGGTGTGGGCGGTGGGAGTTTGAGCTTTGGGAGTGGGGAGATAGAGCGAGGAGTCTTGGCCATGTTTATCGATTTGGTTGATTCGACCAACTTTTCATGAGTGCTTGCTGGCTGCCCAGCGTAACAGGTGTTGAGGACACAGCTAAAGATGAAACAGGTGTGTTTCCGGTCCTCACGGAAGTCACAATCCCGTGGGGAGGCACAGACAATAAAGGCATCAAGAATGGGAGACGATGCATCAGCGGGGAAGCCGTTTGTGGGGAGGCGGGTTGTGGGGGCTGCAGTTTTAGCCCGGGTGGTCGCAGTGAGAAAGGGGTGGCCTCTCTGCCTCTTCCCAAGGCCGAGGTGGGCGGTCGGTTTTGGTTAATCTCTCTACCTCCCTCCTTCTCTCCCTCCTTTCTCTCACTCCTTCCTTCCCTCCTTCTTCCTTCTCTTCTTCCTTCCCTCCTTCCTTTTCTTCTTCCCTTTTCCTCTTCTCCTTCTCTCCCTGTCTCCCTCCCTTCCTTTCTCTCTCTACCTCTCCTTTTCTTCTTCTAGCTCTAAAGTATCCAGCCACATCTCCTTACCTGACGCCCTGCTGGGGACTCATGATAAAAGAACCAATCTTCTAGAATAACAGCAACACCGCTGCACGCGAACGTCATAGCGCCTGTGCCAGGCCCGTGCATGCATCGTTGACATGCCTCGGCATGCATCATTCTCTACAAAAAGTTACCGAGTACCTACTGTGTGCCAGGCACTGTTCTAGACACTGGAGAGTTCTCAGCAGTGAACAAATCAGCCAAACTCCTGGCCCCGTGGCACTTGGTTCTCTAATCCTTACCGCAGCGCTTGGAGGTAGAGGAGGAAATTGGGGCACAGACTGTCCCCCAGCCCTGACCGGACACACCTCACGAAGCTAAGGATTGCATTTTCAGGTAGTGCTAAGGTCATCGAGAACATAGTAGGAACTGAAGGGATGGTTGTTGAGCAAATGAATGAATGAATGAGGGAATGAACGAGTGAATGAATGGCAGGGCACCTACTGGGGCCGTGACCTAGAGAATCCAGCTCACGAATGTCCAGAGCCAAGGGCCGGGCTGGCTCTGGACGTGATCCCAGGTGGCACGTCTCCCGCCTTGCCCTGGGTGGGGCGGGTGGTTGGGAAATGTGGGGGCCCAGCCCTAGAGGGTGGGGAGGAGACCCTGGCACCCTCTCTGATGCTATCAGACTCCGGAGCCAGTTGGAACTCATTAGTCATAGGCTCCGCCCGTCGCTCTGCCCTCATTCTGCACACTTGGGCATCATCAAAAACTCCTGTGTCAGACCTGTTGGCCTCTGCTCTTGGAGCAGCTATCCCACTGATAAACCCGTCCTTGCCGACTTCCCCGACGACAGCAGCGGCCCCTGCCGTTTACTGAAATGGGGGGCCCCCTCTTCATCATTGCCACCTGTCTAGTCCTCCTTCTTTCTCGACAGAGGTAAATCAAACTTCTGGGTCCCCCAGAGCTGTGTGACCTCAGAGAAGTCACTCTACCTTTCCGAGACTCGATTTTCTCATTGCCAAACAAGAACTAGACAGCTGGACGTTGGGGTGTGTGCAAGGGTTAAAAACAATCTCTGTAAAGGTGTGCGGTCAAAAGATGGGCAAGTAACACTCGCAGTGCCTTCTATCCAGAACTTTCTAGGTGCAAGACCCTCTGTCAAGTGTTTTCTTGCACGACAGGCAAGCTACCTGAATCCGTTTTGAGGTCTCGTCCAGAAGCAATATTGATTGAGCACCTACTACGTGCTGGTTTTTGAGGTTACAGTGGAGAATGGAGAAGACGCAGCCTCTGTTCCCAAGGCCACGTTTAGCGGGAGAGCCAGATAGGTCCAGAGCAGCTGGACAGGTGCCAGGAACGTGGATGGCTTTGGGCACAAAGGAAGGCCACCTGGCCCTGCCTTGGGGGATTGGGAAGTCTTTACGAGACAGTGACCCCCGGGCGAGAGGCAGAGTAGTAGTTGGCGCGGTGAAGGGGGGCGAGTGGGGAGCAAGAGCGTTCCAGGCAGTGGGAACGGCATGTACAAGCTCTTGGAGGTAAGAGTAGGCATGGCTCCTTTAGAAGAACTGAGTCATTCTTTCCACCCAGATTACAAAGGTAAATGTGCACAGCGGTGAGTGACGGAGCGGGTTTATAAGCCAAGTTTAAGACTTTGGATTTTACTTATGGGAATGACAGATGTGTTTTAAGTGGAGGTGTTAGAGTTTGGGAGATTGGTTGGCTCAGCATCTTCAGGTGTGTGTTGATACGCCCAAGGGCTGGTGTTTGGTTGAAGGCCAGAGGGGACATCAAGTTTGAGAGTTTGCCCACTCGGTGTCCACAGCCCCATTTTCCCTGAGACGGCTAGCTGCCCCCCCCCCCTATTGCTTATGGTCTCGATGGCATGGTCCATCAAGGTGCCCTCCCATTTCTGGCCAAGGCTGGGCTGTGGCCCAGGGTATACCCTCCAGAATTTAGATCTTGGCGTGGACGTAAGGACTGAACACAGTTATTGTCATTCTTGCCCAAAGTTCCCCTATGAAGAGATTGTCCATTCACGGGCCAGAGCTGTTCTGGTCTCTGGTTTTCCTTGTCTGTAATTCATTTGATTCAATTCCCCATAATAAATTAATTAATGAATAAGTTAACCATACACAAACACATTCACATATATTTATATTTACAGTGTAAGTTCACCAGAATCATTTTCTGAAGCTCGCTACCAGAGAACCCTAGCTAATATACTAATAGCAATGGTTTTATAGGAAGCTAGCTTAAGCAAAGAAACCAAACCAAACAAACACACCAAAAAAAAAAGGGGGGGGCATTATAAAAATACTGAAATATTTTAGAAAATGTAAAGATGAGTTGCTTGGAAGGCTAGGGTCTAGTGCGGGTCTAGAGGATTCAGCAGTGTTTGCTTTTATTCTCAGCCTCATCTCTTCATGGTGGCGAAATGGCTGCCATATCGTAAACATCACGACAATATCCCAAGGCCTTTCTAGAGATTAGTCAATGGTGCAGCTCAGTTTTGGAGACTCCCGGGCTCTGTGTCTTCTTCAAGTTTCAAACTCCCAAAAGAGAAAATCTGATAGGTCTGGTTTGGGGTAGGTGTCTGCTCCAGTGGTGTGGGGTCATGATACAGACAAGGCCTGTGTGGGGGAAGTACCTCTCTGTTCGAGGGTAGCCATTGTGGATTGGTGGCTGTCCTGGAGACGTGTTTGACCTTGTCCATTGATGGGCACCAGAGAGACCTTGGCATGCAAAAGAAGGACGTGGGTGGGACCAGGAGCTGGGAAACCAGTTTGCCAAGACTGGGTCCTCAAATTGTGGAATTTGAGCTGGTTCCACCATGACCCAAGGAGACCCATGGGCTTCCCTAGAATCAGAAGGGCGCCTGCCTTGGGGACCCGCATGGGTTTCCAAGACCTAGGCTCAGAGGCGGTGACATCGGGTCAGGTGAATGATTCCCTCACACCCACCACTGCGCTCCGCGTTCTTGGGGTGGCGTCCTGAGAACTAAGTGAGCGCCCCAGTTAGCAGGGCACGATTCCCTCGCCAAGAAGGGAACACGGGCAGCAGAGGAGACCTTTACAAGAGGAAGATTTTATTGGGCAGGGAAGGGCGGAATTGAGCGAGCGAGCTGGCTGACTTCAAGTTGGCAGGTCAAGAAGACACTTGTTTCTGAGCTTGTGAGATAGTTACCGTGGCCTCGACATATGTGGGGGAGACTTGGAGGGACATCAAAGTCCTACGTCAGCAGCTAGGGACTTTGAGCCACTGGAATTCTGGGGGAGAGGTTCTCATGACCTTAATTGTGCTCATGAGGGCTGGAGACTTTTGGGTCAACAGCACAAAGAGGCAGGTGACATTATGCCTGTGTCACAGATGCAGAGATAAAGGGTTAGGGCGTTGAAGTTCCCTTCTCGAGGCCCCACAATTAGTGGAGGAGCATGGATTCAATCTCATATCACTTGGATCTCAAAGCCCATTAATGGGAAAGCTTTGGTTTCAAACAAAACGTCCGACTGAAAACAGCTTAAATAGAAAGGTCAATAATTATTTTAAAAACTAGAAGTCTGGACGCAGATGGTTTTGGAGTAGGTGACTCAGCAGCTCAACGTCGTCAAAATACGTGGTTCTCGTCTTTCTGCTCTGCCGTTGCTGGAGCAGCAGTCTCGAAACACTGTCCTGGGACCCCCGGGGTCTCTGAGGCCCTGTCAGAAGTTTAGCGAGGCCTGGAGTGTTCTCGTAATAATATGAAGATATCGTCTGCCTTTTTAAAATCTGATTGTCTCATGAGGATACAAATAGAATCTTCCAGTGGCTACTCAATATGTGAGGGCATCATGTCTCTGGTGACCAAGGGGAGGTCTGCGGGTGTACTCATATGTTTTGAAAGCTTCTTGGGTCCAGTTTCTAGTGCAGCCAGTCTCGATCGATGTAGCTCACGCAAACCAAGGTCTTTGACGTCCTCGGTAATGTTTAAGAATAAGAGGTCTTGAGACCGAAAAGTTTGGGAACCGCTGTTCCTATTTGTTTTTGCTCCCAGACTAGTTTCCTCATGGTCACAAAACGGCTACCACATCTTAAACATCACAACAATGTCCAAATGCCTGATTCACTGGGCCTGGTTTCGATCAAGAGAACTTTCCCAGAAGTTTCTCATCAGACTTTCCATCATGTCTCAGAGCCAGAATCATCACACATTTATTCCTTGACCAGTTATTGACCACGGGGATGACCCATGCCCTGGGGCTAAATCCTGCTTTCCTAAGGCCATGTCCTCCTGACGCTTGAACACAGATTGGGTGTGTTCAGCAAGCAAGAAAGGGGTGATCTATAACTTAAAATACAGGTTCATCTGCGTTTTGGTCCACAGGAAGTGAAAGGCAAGCCTTAAGCGGCTTATTAAGAACTGACCTGGGAGTAATAGATTCATTTACACTGCCATCCCATCGGCCAGGCCAAGACGCAAAGGCACACACAGTACAGTGCAAGAAAGGCCATGTAGTCTTCAGCTGAGGAGCTATGTGCCGAGCTAAAATTTGGGGGAGACTATTTCTATGAGGAAAAGGGGGCGATTGTATGTGGAAGGCTAGTAGATAGTCTTTTCCACACTCATCGAATGAATGAGCCCGCAGGATAATGGGTGGAATCATCGGTCCTTCCGAGGACCAGTGGGATGCCTGTTGAGATCAGCTGAAACGCTGACAAACTCTGGGTCGGTTCATTGCCTGATTGGCTAATGACTGAGGATTTGGATGTAGGTGCTGCCCTCCCTCGCCTCCCCTGTCTGACCCGCCCCCCGCCCCACGTCCTCCTATTTCCAGGTCAGCAATGTCTCCTTCTTCATCTTTGGGCCTCTCATGATGTTCCTGATGCACCCCTACGCCCAGAAACGCTCCCTCTTCGTTCACGGCATCTGCCTCCTCTTCACAGTCATAGGTAGGCAGGGGCGGAGACAGTGGGCGGCGGTGGTGGGAAGGGCCACCCCCTTGATCACCCGCCTTTGTCTCTTGCTCTAGGCCTGTTCTCCATGTACTTCCACATGACGCTCAGCTTCTTGGGCCAGCTGCTGGACGAGCTCTCCATTCTGTGGCTGCTGGCCAGTGGCTACAGCATCTGGTTGCCTCGCTGCTACTTTCCCGCCTTCGTAGGGGGCAACAGGTGGGGCGGGGGCTGGCCCTCTGGGCTCCTGGGACCTTGGAATTCCTCCCCTGACCACTCCAGGACTTTCTCCTGACCCTGCTTGACTTAACTGGGCTCTGTTGAATATACTTGGAACTCCTGGCGTTCCCCCCGCCCCCCAGATCCCAGCTGGGTAGCCTGGGACCTTCTCCAGACCTTGCCCGAGCCCACTGGGGGCAGGGGTCCCAGGACGCTACACATGAGCTTACCTGGGCCCCTGAGCCTCTCGCTTGAGGTCCCTGGAATCTTTTATCGGTTCCCCCAGGCACATCGCATGCCCGAGACCACTCTGAAACTCCTCCTGACCCTGCTCGACTCATAGGAGCCTTCAAACGCCCCTCCTGAGAGCCTGTGGGGCCCCTGTGATTCCCCACTGAATCCTCCCTGCGCCCCCCGGATCCTCTTGTCTGCCCCCTGGGGCCCTGGCACCCTCAGACCCCTGAGCCTCGGGGCTGTCAGGCGAGTCCACTGGGGTGCTTTTTGCGGAGCCCAGCAGGGTTCCCTGGAACCCTTTCCCTTTCTCATCCGCCTCTGCCACAAGCGCCACGTGACCCTGCCTAGTGCCCCCAGGAGCCTCTCCGGACGCCCCCCAGCCAAGCCCTTCTCCCCACAGGCTCCAGTTCTCCTGCTTGGTCGTCCTCACCACCATGGTCAGCACCTTCCTGTCCTTCCTGAGGCCGACGGTCAACGCGTACGCCCTCAACAGCATCGCCGTGCACATCCTCTACATCGTGTTCCGGGAGTACAAGAAGTGGGTGCTGGCTGCGGGTGCCCGGGACGGCGGCGCGGCCCCGTACCCAACAGGACCCCCCTGCTCATCGGGCACGGAGGTCTTGTTGACTCCGCGCTCCAGACCACCTGCTAACGAGGAGTGGAGCCAGGCTTTGAACCTAAGGCTGTCCGACTGCAGAGCTTGTCCCTTTTTATTAGGGACACCCCCCCCCAACATACATACAAGTAGAGAATGTGGTACCGTAAACCCCCATCCGCCCACTACCAGCCCCGACAGCCATCGGCATTTCGTCAACCTCCATTACATATTCATCTCAGATTTCATATCATGGCTCCCATTCATTTTTCAGGATTTCACTCTCCCGGGAAAGAATTATTATTTTTAACCCATACCAAATCTTAGCAGGATAGAGAGGGAACTGTCAAATGGGGCCAATTTGAGGAGAGTTGAATAGAAGCGTTATTTACAAAGGAGAGGAAAGGGTGTGGGAAAATCCCCAGAGATCACTGAGAATCCCTCTGCTAGTGCCAGTGGGATGCTCTGACCGTCAGGTCAGGAGACCTGCGGGAGAGGTGATGGGAGGGAGTGAGCGCGAGAAGCCCAGGGGAAGAGGCTGCATAGAGGGTCTTCTTGGCAAGAGCTGTGACTTCCAGTTGCTGCTTGCAGTCAGCCTGAGCCAACCCCGCAGGAGAGGAAGTAAATCTAACGACACCCTCTCCCCTTGGTTTCTTGCTGGGGCTCCCTATTGGCCAACCCGACTGGAAGCCTGAGGGCAAGGGAGCCCTCGGATTTTGTCCACTCGGCTCAGGCCCCCTCCCCCTCATAGGGCAGAGTGAAGAAGGGGAAGGAAGGATCCAGAGGGACAGACGGAAGATGCGGCACACACGCTTTTAACAAAATTAACGACACTTCCTTAAAATAGTATCTAATACCTGGTTCTTACCGGCGTTTGCTCGGTGTCTCAAAGACGTTTTCTTACATTTCGTCTTATTTTTACTGGGATCCAAACACAGTCTCTTAGGTCTTTATTTCATAACGGTCCCTCCCTCCCCCTTTGTTCATGACTCTGATGCGATGACAGACACTCGGTCGTTTGTCCTGAAGAGCATCCTGCATTCTGGATTTGACCAGAATGCTTCCTGTGGCATCTTTCAATGTGTTTCCTTATTATTATTATTATTATTTTTGTATTTCTGGAAAATTAATAGTCAGATCTAGATTTAGGTTTAAATTTTATTAGCTCAGAATATCTCATGTGTGATGCTGGATGCTTCTTGTTCCATCCCGTTAGGACGCCAGGTTGTCCCACATTTAGTGCTGTTAAGGTTAATCAGGGGATTCGGATGGTGTCACCCGATAACTTCATTGTAAAGCTTTCCACTGACCTTTCACCTAATGACTTCAGCAGCCACTGATGCCCCTGCCTCCAACCATTACGTGTTCCCAAAGGGCGATTTGCAGATTCTGTTCCTCCTTCTGCGATGGTTAGCTGGAGTTCTTCCATCAAGAAGGACTTTTCACTCATCAGCTTTGAAATACAGTTGGAACAGGAAGGTCGGGAGAGATTGTTGGTTCCTGCTCTTTGCCGGTTCCTGGAGTAATGAGTTGGTGCCTTAGCCATCGCTAGTAGGGACTGGCGAAGTTGCTTTTGTTTTTAAGTTTTATTATGAACTCAAGGATGTTTACATCTCTGAAGTGTTTTAATCCATTTCAGTCACTATGCTGTATTTTTCACTTTTTATTTTGAAATAATTACAGACTCTCAGCAAGTTGCAAAATCGGCAGAGTCCCGTGTACCCTCCCCCAGTTTCCCCCAGCCTTTCTCAGTGGCAGCATCTTATGGGATAATAGTACAACCTCAAGAAGAGGACATTGGCAGTGAGATAACATTGCTGACTAGACCACAGACTTTATTCAGATTTTACTAGTTCTTACTCATTGTGCTGCTTTTGATGTCAGACCATGTCATTTTAGGCTAGCGGGCAGGATCTGTGCTTTCAGCCATAAAAGAGTCACTGCTTTATGAATACCGGATGTGCCCTTTTCTAAGGGACACAGGGTTGGCTCTGCCGTTGGGGAAACACAGATTCTGGTCCCGAGTTGTCCCAAGACACGGCCATCGGAGAGTCACCTTCCCACACGCAGATACGCACCTTCTCAGCACACAGACAAAGATTTTCGAGTGCTGCCTCACAGGCACCCCACAACACACACACACACACACTCATGCACACGCCTGCACACCCACCCCCATGCACCCAGCCACCCACATGCAACCAGCCCCTCCCCCTCATGCACACACACACACAGAAGGGCTCGTTGGTTAAGAGTTCTGCAATCTGATAATGCTGGTTCAGGCACGGCTCTGCCCCTCACTAACTATGTAACTGGGTGGGGTCGGGACATAACTTACTCTCACGGGCCTCAGTTTTCTCACCTGCAAAATGGGAATATTAGTGTTGTGAGGACCGAGTTTCTAATCGAAGGACTTTTGGAACAGCACCTGGCATCCCGTAAGTGCTAGGCAAGTGTTAGTGGTAAGCACAGATGAGACCCCTCTTCACAGCCTCATCTCCTTGATGGAGGAATTTCCCATCAGCCCCTGCGAGCTCTCTTTGAGTCAGGTTCTGATCTCCCTTCTTCCCTCCCTAGGACCAGCAATAAGGAGCTCCAGCATCTCATTGAGGTCTCTGTGGTTTTATGGGCTTTCGCATTTACCAGCTGGATTAGTGACCTCCTCCTTTGCAGTTTCTGGCGGCAGATTAATTTTTCCTACATGCACAGCATCTGGTAAGCATGTACCCTTTGGTCTGGGGCTGGAGAACCAGAATGCCAGAGCTTGGAGCAGTAGCCTGGGAACAGAGAGGGGAGGCACAGATACTGGGTCTTGCGTATGTATAATGGTTGCAGTAATGCGGTCAGTTCCAGAAGGTTCCTTTGGATGATGAGGGTCCATAAGAAGTAAGAAAAGGATCCAGGTGGGGCGGGGGGCATCCAGCTGTCTGTAGGGGCGTGTTGCACCCTCATCACCCTCTCTCTCTGCATCCCACAGGCATGTGCTCATCAGCATCACCTTCCCTTACGGCATGGTCACCATGGCCTTGGTGGACGCCAGGTATGAAATGCCAGACCAAACCCTCAAAGTTCGCTACTGGCCTCGGGACACTTGGCCCGTGGGGCTGCCTTATGTGGAAATCATTGGTGACCACAAGAACTGCTGAATGCCCGTTTCTCGACCGCCCAACAACCTGCCAACTCACCGGTGTCTTGAGGAGAGAGGCCTGGATCAGAGTCAGAGACACTCCCAGCTCCTTCCTGCAGCCCTTTCCCCATTCCCCCGCCCTGCGTGGCCTCACCCCAAGGCAGGGGATGGACTTCACGACCACTCTGCGCAGCAGGCTGGTGACGGGGGCTGCCGGCCGCGGCTCCCCTCCATGATCTGCCCCTGTTCTCTTTCATTTCCTCTTGTGTGTTCTCTGCTTTCCTGTTGTCTCACTAACTGGTGAGGCTGGATCATCATGTGCTGTGATTACGTGGCATCTACTGGGAATGACCTCGGGCTGGGGTTTGGTCCATGGGCATTTTACTAATAGCGGTGGTCACTACCAGACTCTTCGGACCTTTCTATGGCCATTTAATGTCTCTGGTACTTGGGGGCCCTCCCAGAGGAGGAACATGTTTTCCAGTCACCCCGTTCTACCCTCGCTTATGCCTATAGAGAGCTTGCGGGCCCTCACGCACTCACACACGGACTTCTGCGGCCATCTCACTCATTGACGGTGGAGAAACATGGACACCTGAATGGGCAATCTGGGTGCTGTTGGGCATGGGCATAAGAAGGGGAGCCGGGGTGGCCAACACAGGCTGTCAAGTGAGGGGAGGAGGGAGGATGTTTTTATGGTGGTTAAGAGCACATGGAGTCAAGAGACCTAAGTTTTTATGATCCACCATTTCCTAGTTGTGTAATCTGGGCGAAGTGATTTTTCCTAGTGATCTTTCTGAAGCTCAAGTACCTTGTCTGTAAAATGGAAATATTTCTTCCTTCATGAGATTTCTACGTGGATAAAACAAGATGATGTGTGTAAAGTGTTTAGCATGGAATCTGGCAAACATCCATCCACCCATCCATCCAACCATTGATCTTTAGGACCCTACCTACTCTTTAAAATACTCATCCATTAATTTATTCATTCATTCCTTCATCTTTTCATGTTATCTATTTTTACCTACCTGTTCATTTATTAATGGATCCATCCAATCACTGAGTCATTCATTGAAACATCCATTCATCCATCCACTTATCCATCCATTTATCCATCTATCCATTATTCATCCATCATCCATTACCTATTATCCTTCCATCCAACCATTCAACTGTTATCCATTCCTCATCCTCCATTAATCCATACATCTATAGTTAGCCATCCATTTGCGTTCATTTATCCATCCAAATCATGTCATCATTCTTCCATTCTTCCCACCTATTCATTCATTCATCCATTCATCCATCTATCTCTTTAACAAATATATGTTGAGTGTCTACTATATGTCTTACGCCAGCACCTGGGGATACAAGACAACAAAGGTATGCAAAGTTCTTGCCTTAATGAGGAGACACACACTGGACAAGTAAAATGACACACCAATAAGGCAATTCCAAGCACCGATGAGTGCTGCCTAAAAGATAAAGTACGGTGATGTTTTAGAGAACCTCAGGGCGGTCGAGCGACCCTTTTAAATGGAAGGTGAATGGGGATTGCACTTTCCAGCTGTCATTTCCTCAATGAGAAGAGGAAACAGGCCATCTAAAGAGCTGGGAAAGGCCATTCTGGGCAGAGGAAATGGCAGATGTGAAACTCCTGGGGGTGGGGATGCACTGGAGCAGCAGAAAGAAAGCTGTCGCTGGAGCTTAGTAAGCAAGGGAGAGCTCGGAGTCGAGGTTCCTAACCTGGGGGCCTTGGCTGGGTTTTAATACCTATGGACCATTTGGTATTCTCTGTAAAAGATGGGTGTTGGGGCATGTTATCTGGGCCCCAGGAGTGCCTCACTCCAAAAGAGTAGAGGCAAGCCCATTTGGAGAAATGGTGAAATTAAAGGGTAGTGGCCACTCATATTTACTGAGTGTCTCCCATGTGCTCTATGCCCACGACAAACACATCATTGAACCTAATACCCTCCCATACCCCTTCAGACAGACAGGAATGTTCTCATTTTATATAGGTGGCTCAGAGAGGGCAAGCAACTTGCCCAGGGCCACATAGCCTGATATGATCCAGCAACTCCATTCCTAGGTGTATACCCGAAAGAATGGAAAACAGGTATTCAGACAAATACTTGTACAAAAATGTTTATAGAAGCACTGCTGATAATAGGCAAAGGGTGGAAACAATATAAATGTCCAACGACAGGTGAATGGAGTGAAGCGCTGACATAGCAACATGGATGAATCTTGGACACATGATGCTCGGAGAGAGAAGCAAGGTGCTGAAGGCCAGCTGTGGCATGATTCCACTCATAGGAAATGTCCAGACATAGGCAAATTCATAGAGGCAGAAAGCAGATTAGAAGTAGCTGAGCTGAGAGCAGGGAGTGGGGAGCGACGACGAGGGGCATGGGATTTCCTTCTGGGGGGAAGAACACATCCTGGGACTGGATGCAGGTGGAGGCCGCACACAGTGGGAACCTTCTAAATGCCACTGTGTTGTACATGGTGATATGGTTACTGGTTAGTTTTATGTTGTGTGAATTTTACTTCACTTAAAATGTAGTAAAGTTCTCAGAGTCACCCTCCCGCTGGTCTTAGGTCACGCCCCTGCTGCCAACCAATCCCAGCAGCCAAAAGGATGCAGTCCTTTGATTGGCCAGGCCCGGTCATGTGCTTCCTAGGGGTGGCAGGTGAATGGATGAGTGGTCAAGAGCCCCATTCCGACTTTGGGTTTGAGAGGGAAAAGAGTGAGCACTTGGGGGCCCGATGTCCTTCCTCAAGCCTTGTGCCCTGTCATGAATTGAGATTCTCCAGAAGGGCTGCCATTTAAAAATTCTTGCAAAGGTAACTTACAGGCTCATATTTTCCCTGGGAGGATCCCCCAGATCAGGGACCGTTACCAGGAAAAAAAGGGGGGAGAATGATGCTAAGAGAGAGAAAAATTGCAATGTCCAGTGTACTGCCCTTTCCTGGGGAAATACTTCTTACACATAGTTTTGGTCAGTGCCAAATGCCTTCATGACTCCCCATTGCCTGTAGGTTAAGGGTCCAAAGCCCCAGTGGAACAGTCAAGGTCTGCTCTGAATTGAAGTTAATCTGAGGTACATCTCTAGCTGGCCACTGGGCTCTGCTCCAGCTTGGTCATATTCAATATCGCCATGAGTGGCCGTGTGTACATTTGTGGCTGGCAAGAAACTCGGAGGTACAGGGAACATACTGGAGGCCAGAAAGAGGATTCCAAAAAAGAAAAAAAAATCTTGAAGGGTTGGACCATCTACAAGGTAAAAGGGGGGATACATGCTGAAGTCCTCCCTTTGGGTGCAAATAAACGGGACCTCTGGAGGGCGATACAGACTTAACATAGCAGCAGTTCACTTACAGACAGGAAGTTAAACTCCCTAGGTTCAAAACGTTACTTTCTGGCTGTGGGACTTGGGTCCACTTATAGCCCTCTCCGTGTATCAATTTTATTTTTTATAACATGGAGATAACATGTAGCAGTCGTGAATTCTGCCAAATGCTCAGATTACTATTTGCATTATGTTTCTCTTTAACTCTACTCCCTTTGCTCACTCTGATGTACTTAAACAGGAAACATTGTGTCACTTCAAGAAGTCACTTGTCCTAGATCAAAAATAACCGTAAAACTAGATACAGTAACAAGTTATCTACTGCAGCTCTGTGATTCTTAACCCAGTCTTCATTAGAATCTCCAGCTGAACTTTAAAAAAGGGGGCTCTTTGCAACAATTGTAGTTTAAAGGTTCTTTACTGCAAGCTTCCTTAAGAGACAAATTGCTACTCCCCCCCCCCCATTTTTGTCCCTTTACCTGGGGCAGTGGCTTTGAAAGGTGAGTCTCAGGATCATGTGAAGAACTGGTTAAACCAAAACTCTGGGTGCGTGCTCAGCGTTTCTGATTCCATAAATACAAAGACACCAGAAATGGTATTTCTAACAAAGTTCTCAGGTGACGCTGAGCCTGCTGGTTCAAGGACCACATAGAACCACTGATTTACTTATATTCAGCTCCATAAATAAAAAAGTTAAAGTTGTATTAACATTAAAGTTGGTGCTTTTTTTCTTAGTATGACCTCCATTCTCTCCCGCCGCGCCCTCCGCCCCACCCCGCGCCAGCTGGCACAGTCCTGCCCTAAATTAAAAAGCACAGTGTTATCCTGATAGCCATCTGATCTTCTTCAGGGTTTTTGTCTGAATCTATTGACAATCCAGTTACTGATTTTCCGGTGCTGTTCTTTAACGCAAAGTATCAGCCACGCCACCTAATGAATATTTGGCTGATACTTAAATGAAAAGTGAAGGGGGATGGGGAAACAAAATGGTTTTTAAGAAGGAATTTTAATAACTGCACAAGGGTCCCGAAATAATAGGAGGAAGTCCTAACGTCTGAGAGACAAGTGGTTTACAGGATCCCGAAAAAGATAGAGGGATGTGTCTATGTTCACTAAATACAGTTTATATAAGTCGCTGTGAAATCCTGGGATCGCAGGTAAATTCAAAGATCGTTTTTTGGCGCACTTAGCATTATAAACTTCGTGAATAAAACGAGACGCTTTGGTCATTTTAATGGAGCACTATATCAAATTTGCATCATTCAAATTAGCATCAACTAGTATCACACCGTTCTCTGACTGTCCCCATTCCACAGATGCTCAAGCTGAGACTCAGGGGGAGATGCCAGTTGACCAGACTTGCCATGATGCAGAACCAGGATCGGAAAATCAACCTGCAGTTCCAGAGCCCGGGGCTCATTCCATCACAGAGCAACACGCTGCCAGGAACCAAAGGTGTCCTGGAGCTCCCGCCAACCCGGGGCGGCTGGGGCCCCAGCGGCTCCCCGAG